GCTTACATTAGTCACTCGTTATACCCAAACTTTATAATTACGCTAATATGAGGGTCTCGCAAATCCCCCTCCTCTTCACCACACTCGGTGCCAGCCTTGTGCTCGCTCAAGAACGCTGCGACGCACCCTCGCCAGGCATATACTGCAATTCCACGGAAATTCTCGCATACCACTCGGACGACTGCAAGCCTTTCCACGTCTTCATCTCCCGTGGCTCCGATGAGCCCTACCCAGGCCGTCTAGGCAACCTCACCTCGGAGATTTGCGCAGCAATTGGAGGATCAGAAGAGTGTGGTTACGAGGATGTCGAGTACCCAGCGAAGAGCACAGCATGGGGACAAGGCGTTTGGTGTGATTCTGCGGGCAAGGGTGCGAAGAGCGGACAGGCCCAGATGAAGGCGTACAGCGAAAAATGCCCTGATAGCAAGTTGATTGTGTTGGGTTACTCGCAGGGAGGATCCGTGGCACAGGACATGCTTGGTGGAGGAGGAGGTTCTGTCTTCGCATGTGAGCAAGACATGAACCCGGCTCTAGACGCTACGTCGGCTCCCGGCTCTAATGGTATGTATCCTTGTCAATAACAAGTCACGCTCTACATCGGTTTTACTAACCCTCCAACTATAGTCGTCGCAGCCGTAACCTTTGGCGCTGTCGTTCGTTCTAAAGACCAGAATTTCACCGTCGGTCGCGGTGTAGACTACGACGGCACCAGCGCGCGCAGCCCTGAACACCTTGAAGGCCTTCAGCAATACTCCGACGTCTTCCTGGACTACTGCCACTACGGCGACCCAATCTGCGCCGTCGGCTCCGAGCCTCAGGATGTGAACGAGCACCTTAACTATTTCGTCCAACACAACCCCGAAGTGATCAAGTGGGTAGTTGGCATGGCCAAGGCAAGCGGTGATGTGAGTGCGAAACCCAGCAAGCCCGTAATCAGCGCTTCTTCTTCCTCGACAAGTGTGGCAGCGAGACCCCAAGCCACGCCTTCCGGATCCGCCACCCCCTCGCCTATTGCAACGACAACTGACGGAAACGAGAAGAGCGCGCAAGCAACCACTACCGCTACAGGTGCTGCTAGTTCGCTGACTGCTACTCTCGGGTACCTGACTGCGCTGGCTTTGACCGTAGCTGTGTTCTTGTAGATATGATTATTCCATTGCAATATTCTTCTTCACGAGTGCTTGTGCCATACAGCCTCGTTGCCTAGCATTTTGGATACCCCAAGCAAGGAGTAGGGAGCATACAACGAAGCATTGATATACATCGCGTATTGAATTCATCACAAGTTAAACATGTAAATTTGAACATTGAACATTGAACATTGATTTGTCTCATGGTTATCAGGCCGTCATCGTCATTATATACAAAGATTACCTGCTCGTGATAGGCTTTTAGCCGAGAGGATCAAGAAATAGCAATATAACAAAGCGCCGCCAATGCAATGCATGCAACTCGTATGAAACACAAACAAAAACTACAAAAGACCAATGGTCCTCTGCTTCATGGTCCTAACATCGACATTCTGCCAGCAGGCAGTGCTGAAAAGAGTGATGCAGTAGACGCACACAGCGGCGATAAGCATGTACTTTTGTGTCTGACCGTAGCTGAGGTTGATGGCATCACGAGTCGGGCTTCCAACAGGGTAGCTGTCCTGAACCTTGAAGCTGCCGTAGATACTGGCAAGGTCTGGCAAGGCGCTCGCAGGCAGGTTAGCTGCAAGGCGAGCTGGGAAGACACCGGTCCAGATGGCACCTGCAACGGTAGAGCCGATAGCGCTTCCGATGGAAATGATCATAGATTCCACGGCGAGGAGAGCAGGGAAGTCTTGCTGCTTGGACACGGCCATGAGAGTGGTTTGCTCGGAGGTAACCAGGACACCACCGCCAAAAGCGATGAAGATCATGCACATGACAATGTAGCCAATATTCTGGTCGGGTTGACGGAACTTGATCATAAGACCAACACCGAGCATGGTAAGAGGTACACCGAAGAAGAACGAAAAGACCTTGAGCTTTCCGTAGTAACGTAGCACGATTCCGTAGATGATGCAAATGAAGCAGCTGCCCATGGTGTAGATGTTGGCGATCCATGTGGCGTGTACCTCACTCTGATCGAACAGAACGACGAGAAGAGAGTAGAAGTATGAGTCCCAGCAGTACCAGCCAACGTATAACGAACCAGCCATGGTGTAGGTAAAGATGACGGTTCGGTTCTTTAGTAGTGGCCATGGAATGAAGGTGACCGGGGCACCCCACTTCTCCCACAGACCGAATGCAACGACTAGAAGTGCGCCGAATACGATGAAGCAGATGATAAGAGGCGACTTCCACTGCTCGGCCTGGTACGAGTAGATGTTGAAGGCTAGAAGGAAGAGCGACAGTCCAGCGGCCAAGAGCAGAAGACCGACGGCATCGAATTCGCGAAGGTAGTAGGTAAGAGTTTGGATAAAGTTACCGCGGCTGGGGCGTGGTGCGATGAGACCCTGCTTGCGCGCCTTGCCTTCGTAGACAACAAACAGAATGATAAGAGGCGAGGTGACGATGGGGGCGATGATGGCAAAGATACCAAAAGCCCATCGCCAGCCAATGCCGCCATTAGCCGTAATGCCCCTGATGCCGTACCCGTAGATCCAGGTGGTAATGAGCCACGGGGAAGACGCATAGGAGATGAACAGGGCTCGGTTCTTCAACTTGGAAGTATCGGCGATGAAGACGGTGATGAAGAAGTCGATACTGTTGGAACCAACGTAGAAGAAGGTCTGTGCCGCACAGTAGGCCTTGACGTTGTTGCAGCTCGCCATCAGGATGAGACCGACGACGTAGATGGCTACACCCAGAGCGAGACCGAAAGGTCGGCCCCAGATGTTGAGGATCTTGGCATATGGGAGCTTCCAGATACCACCAACAATGGAGGAGATGACGGTAGTCAAAGCGGTCAGAGAGTGTTGCTGGAAGTCGCTGGTGACGTAGGGAGAGAGGGTGCTCGATGTGCTGGATGCGTAGGCAGTGAAGAACTGAATGAACCACATCCTGGAGATTGTTAGTCTCATCTTGAATATCGAGAGATCGTCCACTTACGCAATGTATGCTAGAATCAAGTCACGCTTCTTCCAGATCATTGAAGCCGCCTGAACTTGTTGCACACCAATCTCAGCAGTGGTATCAACCTTGTTCAGCTCTTCATCGGACTCTCTGCTCAACGCAGACTCCCTCGGGCTGCCGACCTTCTCATCGGGGCGAGCAACGTCCATGCTGGTGTGACCTTGGTAGGAAGCCGGCACGTCGGCAATGTCTTTGTTGTCAGCATTGGCAGAAGCAGCGCTGCCAGAGACCAATGCACTGCTGGTCAATCCCTTGAAGGTGAAACCCATCTTGGCAATTGTAGGTGTTGTTGCACACCAAAAGCGAGGGTTGTGATGGTTGGAGATGGAGAGATTGATAAGACAAGATGCCGCGCGAGGTACAGGTTCATATACAGAAAACGCCGATCCACGCGGCTCCACTGCAGGGCATTGTCAAGACGCACCCGGTTGTCGGCTCCCTCGCAGCTGGGTGGGTAAATTGTTCGTGTGGACCGTCAAAACGGAAATGGTGGTGAACATCACGGTGCACCTGCCCGGCTAGCACCATGCACCAAAGCTTGTTCTTTTCCAGATGCAGTTAAACCCCCGGGATTAAGCATTTTCAAGCATGACCCAGACGGCCTCCAAATCTTATCTCGATAATCGGCCGGCATCAGCGGACATCTAGAGCCAATGATAGTCTGCGGTGGCGTGACGCGTGGGTTATCAGATGAAAATTTTCGATCTAATCATTATCTGATCAAAACCCGCAAACCACGACGCCTACTTGCACCACCACGCTCTGCTCCGTCATGCCTTCGTAAGGCGGGGGTACCGAGGGAAATAATGGCCTGTTAGCCTGCGACTACGGAACTGCCGATGGTGCTCCCAACATTCGATTGCCGCCGAATACTTGGTGGAGCTGTTCGGGGTTTCTGCAGAATTTGCTCCATATTCGTACCGTGGTGGCGGGACGATAGATACAGAAACAGCGAAGTGGGTTGAAGGAGCGGAAGAAAAGGTACAAAGAGGATAAAACGTCTTCGAGAAGCTGGGCTTTGCAGGCATTTCGTTCCTACCTTCATCTGCACCCAATCGCATCTAATCGGCGCTGCTGCTGCGATGAACGGATTCAAGGGTCTGGCATCTTGGCACAAGTGGGGTCGTGATTCGGGGTTGCTCGTCCGAGACTGCTAACGGCGGCTGATACTTCTTCCTTGGGTCCCGACAGTATGAAAAGGCCTCTTTGGACCCACGCATCCATCGCCCTCGGGACTGGACTAGATGCAATGCATCGCCGCGCGGTACCGCGAAGCACAAGAGAATGAGTGTGCCGCAGGTCGATGTCCAGGTACAGTGCAACCCCATCCTACATGAGTAATGTCAGTGGCGGACCGTCGGACTGATCCAGACATGCGCGCGTAGCTTTCTTGTCACCTGCTATTGAATGCGTACGTCTGCATTGACGTGTACACAGTACTAAAAGTGGTGTGTGTTTCTTGTGTTCCTCTGGCAGTTCATTTGTTGCTTCCCCTGCATTGTGTAGCATCCGCATGCGATTACCACGACATCTGTACACCAGAGTACGCCAACGTTATACATCGGGCCGCGAGTACCAAGGCCTACACCTTGAGATCACCGCTGATGTCAAGCGCCATGCAGTATGAGGTGGAGGCTTCTTGAGTGGGTGAGTCTTGACGATCAGGTGGAATTGTGGAGCTTCCAAGAAACCGCTTACGCACGTTTGCACACTGGAGAGCCGGTTTGCACTTCACGTCTCACTTCTCGTTCTTGAGATCTCCTTGACAGTTTACATTCAGCAAAATGCTTAGCTTATAGAAACAGTCCTGTCTAGCGTCTCATACCTGCCCGTGAGCGCCATACGCTCACTTAACCTTTCACAATTCACCTCTCCGTCTCCATCTTCTCCTCTGGTATGCTAATGAATGAGATACTTCGCACAGTCCAGCTCCTCCTCCTGCCTTTTCTCCAGCGAGTGCTTCGTTGCGGAGACGAAGTCCTCGCGAAAGCTAGGGCATAAGCCGAGGAAGAATGACCATAGTTCTTGGGCTGTGTGGTCAATGATAGCAGTGTCTCCCCAATTGCGAACGACAACATCCTGGAGAAGTAGTTGCAGCTGCGATGAGCCTTCCGCAAAGCTCTCCTGGTGACGTTCGAAGACATAAGCGAGCAGTGCTGGTGTCAGCGGCTGAGAGAGGGGTCTGGAGAAAGCTTCAAAGAGACGCTTGATGGCATAGTTCTGGAAGCCTTTTGCACGTAAGGTGACGCCAAGTTCCCAGCTGGCAATGGCTGCCTTGACGGGCCAGTCTACTCGGAAGTAAGGTGTAACGTCAATCTCCAGAGAAGAGGATAGCAAAGTCGGGCACTTGTCGAGAGACCACGCAAGGCCTTCCTTTTCTTGGTATTTTCGAGTATACAACCACTGGATGAACAAATCGAAAACCTCAAGGGGATGTTCAGGTCCAAGATCGTATGTGCGATAATTTTGCCACTTGAATCCGTCGCACTCACTTTCCATCAGCGCTATGTGAACTGACCGGAATGACTCTTTCTCGTAGGTAGGGTCGCCTGAATGCCCGATTCTGATGAGGCCGATGCCTCTATCCGCCGAACTGCAAGTAGGTGCGATTAGTGATAGCCTTTTGATATCTTCTGCGAAACCTCTTACCTTCCAACCAGCTTCTCACCATGAGGGCATTCTTCTAGCGTAACGGGACTCTTAAATCCAGTCGCCATACCCATCTTGGAATGTACAAAGTTGGTAGAGATTGGGGATACGAAAAAAGAGAGTTGGGGTAGTAGGCAGCTGGTAAGTGTTGATAAAGCAACATCGTAAGGTGAGCGAAAGTCTAGAGCTCACCTCCTCGACAAGTACAAGACTCATCGATCACCAGTTTCGCACACTCATCTCAGAGGTTGAAAGTGCTTTGCGCCTTCACCTGCATATTCGTTTGTCTGTCGAGCCATCTATAGAAATATCGAGGTAACATCCAAGAGCACTGCGATGGTGCTCATCCTTCCGGAGATGTCGAATTCGGTGTGTTCTGGTTAGTAAAGACCGTCGTGTTGATGGCCGTCTATAACACGGTAGAGCGTAGCCAGAAGGTTTCTGAGGTCACCCGAAGAAACACAAGCCCGCTACTGTAACGCGCAACATGACCAACTCATGCTGACATTGCTCCCCAACATTACTCGCCCACTAGCATCATGAGAGAACGTATCGTAGCGGGAATAAGGGCGCCTCATAACTCCATGTTTGCCACCGTTATCGACTCCAGTTCCCGGCTTCTTCTTACCTTGTAGCCACAATCTGCGCAAATGCTCTGCACCAAGGACGGATCCTAGCTGTTGAATGACCACTAGTCACTCTTCGCCCGATGTGTGGTTCTTTCACACAGGACTTCTGGCCCAGACTCCATGGCCATGCTTGGCTTGTAGCCATAACTTGCGCAAAAGAACGCTCAACGGTATCATTGTGGAGAGAGGTTAGGCCGCTAAACCCCACTCTCGCAATATACGGGGTCACGTTTACTTTATGCGCGCGCAAAGCGCTTCGAAAACAAGACCACCGGTAGAAATATGAAGGAGCAAGATATTGCTTTTGTGACAATAGGACCGAGAATGACGTGGGGTCAATATGTCGTCAACATGTTGGCGTTGGTTGGTAACACCATCGTTGTCATCAGACATGGATGTCACTTCCCACGGAGTTACTCTACATGTGAGTTATCTATATGGAGCGTCTCCGATTGGTCGAGTTGACATTGTAGCTGTGCTGTTACCTGGCTGTTGGCATACTTTCAAGAGCGATCTACGTTCTTCCCGCAGGAATAGTTATCTGCTTGCTGTTGCGAACAAGCACATGCTGGCTTGTCACAACATTTTGCAATTCAAGGTTGCTGGGTTGCCGGGTTGCCATCATTTGTAAAATGGAAATGTCGCCTTCTTACTCAAATGCCACAGTACAAGGTCAAGACTAAATTCATTCGCAATATCGCAGTCATAATAGGGTATCTAATCGTTCAAAATTCACCGCAGTCGCTCCATCCAACACCATCTACGCACAACAACCGGTCGGCCCTGCTGCCTCGATTGAAGAGCGTCTGTCATCTTTCTCGCTGACCTGGCCATACGGTATCCTAACCACCATCCAGTCGCACAAGAACTTGCCTAAAACAGCTCCTAGTATGATCGAGATGAAGATGTATCCATTGAAGTGCATAACCAACAACATGATGATGTACGCGAGACCGAGAATTAAGCCATGCAACGAGGCGCGAACAAGTTGTTGTAGTGCCGAGGCGCGGAAGGTGGCGTGTTGTGTTCCGAGAGTCGAGGTGGGGCCATCGCAGCAGTTGGCGGGCGTGGCAGCGGCGAGCGCAGCTTGTTGTGCGTTGAGTTGTCGTTGGAATTGGCGGAGGAGGAAGGCATCGTATTCGGTGCTGACTCGTCGCAGGAATTCAAGAGTAACGACTAGGAGAGCGGCGCCGATGCAGCTTGCGGCCATCATGGCGTTGTTGGTCACGTGCCATGATTCGGAGAGGAAGCATGCGTCTACTACACGCCAGTTCCACAGCATCTAAGAAACGTCAGTGATGATGTTATATCGCGGCGATGTGAATTGCGGACCTCTGTGACGCAGGTGCTGTTACCGGAGGACATTCCGGACATTCCTGACATTCCGTGCATGATGGGCGGTGTTGTTCGTGTTCCGAGGTTGGTTTGTAAAGTTTGGAGCGACGTCTGCCAGGAACTGAACCGTGGAAGAGGGTATGTCAAAAAGTGATATAACAACCGTCAAACTGGACCCTGCGGCTATAGATACCGCGACATAGATATGTAGGATCGAGTTACCGTCTCACTGCAGTCTGGCCCGCGCAGGCATGCCGGCAAACTCGCCGGAAATTATGGGGGAACTTGCTCAAACACTCTCGCACTAGCCTCTTCAATCGATCCAAGAGTGCGGGAGCCGCTTAAAGACCCGCCTAAGCTTCGCAGCCCACTTCTCGAATCCTTGGCCCATCTTTTTACGAAACGTGCTCACCATGTTTCCGGTGTGTTACAGTTCGCCTGCGGTAGTTCATATAGATATGCGGTCCGCGCACCGATTCGAGACATGTAGCACGCATTGTCTATTAAATCTTTTGCCCAGTCGTTTTGTCTGCTAACCAGCGACTTATCGACCATGGACTCCAAAATGCTCGTCCCGCGTGTCCACATCCAGAATTACTCTGAGGCGAGCGCTGTCGAGCCGCATTGGGGTTACGCAGATCGCCTTGTACCTTGCACCAGCGACCCTGGTTCTTGCGAATACCTCGACGTTGTCTATCGCAGCCATGACATTGGCATGTATTACACCGGAATCATATGGGCGACCATTGGCGCGATCCTCTTGGTGTGGGGCGTCGGCCGACATTTCGCGCGCTCGCAGCCATCAGGCGTGCAATTACCAGCAGAAGCAGGAGAAGGAATACCACAAAGACGCAGCGCATTCGAGCGACTCCAACGAGCGATTCCATCATACGCACGACAATATCTCCTGCCCGACGCAGCCCGACCGATCTTTGGACGTGTGACACGCACACAGGTCCTCACTCTGGTAGTCTTGACTGGTTACCTGACTCTTTTCTCGTTCATTGGCATCGTTTACAAGAAATGGATTACGCCTGTCAAGAAGATGCCCGGCGTCTACAACACACGTAGCAGTCTCGGACCGTGGTCAGACCGTGTTGGTGTCATCGCATATGCTCTTACACCTCTCTCCGTCATGCTTTCGACGCGCGAGTCTATTCTGTCCCTGGTAACTGGTCTGCCATATCAGAGTTTCAACTTCCTCCATCGTTGGCTTGGATACATCATTTTCGCCCAATCAGCTCTTCATACTATTGGCTGGTGTGTCATTGAGATTCGCCTGTACCAGCCCCAACCAACTGTCGGTGCGGAATGGATCGTCCAAGAGTACATGATCTGGGGACTAGTCGCGATGATCCTCTTGACTATTCTTGTCCTGCTTTCTACCCCATGGGCCATCCGAATCACGGGCTACGAATTCTTCCGCAAGGCTCACTACGTTCTCGCCATGGTGTACATAGGCGCCTGCTGGGGTCACTGGGAGCAACTGAAGGTCTTCCTTCTACCAGGACTTCTCGTTTGGGGCATTGATCGCGCCATCAGGCTTGCTAGGACAGCTCTGCTCCACTACAACTTTTTGCCATCCGGACACATGGGTTTCCGTGCTGCTTCTGCGAACATTGCGCTTTTCAAGGACGATGTCAATGGCGATGTAGTTCGTTTAGATTTTGACCACCCTCAGGATGCCTGGGCTGTCGGTCAGCACTTCTACCTCACGTTCCCCGAAAGCTCCATCTGGCAATCTCATCCATTCACTCCAATCAGCCGTCCGGTTTTCGGTGCTGACGCTCAGAGGCATTCTTATATCTTCCGCGCCCGCGGTGGTGAAACAAAAAAGATCGCAGACCTTTCTATGAAGCGCATTGCCAATATGGCGAGCCACCAAGAGTCTCATGAGAGCTTGATGGCTGATGCTCGTCTCAACGTAGTCATGACTGGACCCTACGGCGAGCGTACCATGCGTGGCCTCGCTTCCAGCTCCAACATTCTGTGCATCGCTGGTGGTACTGGTATCGCATACGTTCTTCCCGTGCTACTCGACCTCGCTTCAAGCTCACAGTCGCCTGATCGCCACATGACGCTCATCTGGAGTATACGCCGAAGAAGCGATATTGACTGGGTTGGCCCTGAACTCTCTACCCTCAAGCGAAAATGCCGAAACCTGCGAACTGGTATTCACATTTACGTTACCCGCGCCGCGGAAGAAGCCAACCTTGATCTTACTGTTTCAGAGAAGGCAGCGCCCAACGAATGCTCCAAGGAGATCAACCCTGCCTCAAGCTCCGACTCTTCGTCCGCTGATGCATCTTCAGCCTTGTCTGTTCACGGTGTGTCAAAGTCGGAACTGGGTCTTAACCACATCCAGGCCAGACCTGACCTTGACGCTCTCGTGACAGACTTTGTTGCTGGCACCGTACGAGGAGGCACTGAAGTATTTGCTTCAGGACCTGGTGGAATGATTAGCGATCTCAGGCGGATAGTTGCAAAGACCAACAAGGGTGGCGAAGTATGGAAGGGAGATGACCGGTGGGACGTAAGATTGACGTGCGACGACCGTTTAGAGTGGTAATTTCTTTTAGCTCGATACCCCAAATGCATTGTTTTCAAGTTCAATCAAGTCTTCTCTGCATCGTGCCTTTCTACCATTGCCATCGTTGAGCTTGCAAGCAGAGCAGGTGAGGTAAAGATAAGGGCAGCTTGTGTTGAAGGCCTGTGCGTTGGTTGGCTTGCTAATCACAATCCCGGGCGGGTTCGCGTCTTAGCGCGCATTTCAACATCAAGCCAACGCGAGAAGGCTCCGGTTGTTCGTATGAGCAGCAACGAGAGCTGGCCGAGCGCCCGTAATGAATCTTTTGGCAGCGCAAATAGCGAAGGATATCGCTCGAATCAACGTTGATGCAATGCGCGGTTGTGATGCGTAACACGATAGTAAAAAAGTCGTAGAAGCTGGTGGACTTCGGCACAACTGCCCTGCTGACTAAAAGACGCGCTAATGGCCGATGTGACGTTTGCTCAGTTTGTCGTCTAGGGCGGCGACTTCTTACGCGATACACAAACATCTTTCCTATTGTACATGCATTTATCTAGGAGTTGTTAGAAGCGTAGAGTACCGGTGGGCCAAAGACCGTTAAAGTCGTGCCAGCCAGACACTCGGATTTAGGCCTCTATCTCCGAACCCCACATCGTCACCACTTGGACCCTTATTTGTCTCCGCTCAGCAGCCTGATATACAACTGCTTTCGACGGTCTATACCTCGCAAGAGCAGCTATGACTGAATTATTGGACCTGTGTTACGACGTGCTGATCAGGATCTTGGAGGAACTACATCCTGCTGATCTTGCTGCATGTGCGCAAACCAGCAAAGGTTTCAATGAGTTCCTCAAGAAGAACAAACCGCTCTACAAGACCCTGTACCTCAAGCATTTTGTATGGTTGGCTATCTGCTGGTATGGCGAGTCATAGATTTTGACGTTGTGACAGGACGACCCTCGAAGGCGAAGACCGACCGATCCCGAGCCGGAATGGGTAGGAGCATTGCAGAGAGTGGTGAGGTGTCAAAAGGTGCTGGAGTCAGCCAACAATGATCTCAAGGTATACCCAAACTGGTGTTATCGTCGAAAACTGCTAAGAATCATTAGAAAGACGAGTTTACATTCGTTGCAACCACTGTCAGTGAACTTATAGCCACTATGGCGCGGGATGAGTACGGCATCACTCGCAACCAACGATTCGTGACAGACTTGTTTCAACATATCGAACAGAACCATAACGCCTTTCTGTGCCGTTCTTCGATCTTTGGTCGCACTAGGTCAGCAAAACGGAAATCAGCCGAGGACGAAGAAAGTCGACAGTTGAGCGCAAGACTACACAGTCTGTTCGGCTTCCCTCCATCCAACGCCGGAAAGATTGATCTATCGATGAATACATTAGCCAGATCGCGAGTGTACGACCTACGGAACTATACCGATAAAAACGAGTGGGGTCCTTTCCGCAATGATGGAACCTGGCGAGTAGACTGGGAGATGATCGAAAGCATCATGATAGTCATCGGACATAACTCCTGCTTCTGCGCTCATGCTGTCTCAAATCGTCTGCGACCGCCATGGTTCGGTCCCCTTGATGGCGTTATTCCAGTAGCGAATGGTCGTATAGGCCACGAAGTATCGAACTATACGGCACTCATACAGCAACCAGACATTCCGCTCAGGATGAAGGACCCGTACGGAGCAGAAGGCATTTGGGCGCGTGTAGGTTCTCGCCCAACTAGGAGTCCAACCATTTCTCTAATTACATCTAGATCGTCTGCTTTCTCGACTACAATGACTTGTACAATTACAATTTCAGCTCTGATGCGATGAAAGTACCCTCCGACGAGCCGCGCGGTGCACTCGATACCGATGAAGCTATTAGACATATCGTCATGGATCTGCGTGTCACAGACGTCACAGCACCAGGGCCCTTCGATAACCCTACCTTGCCAGTTGTGCACTTCAAGGGTGTAGCCAAGTCCGTAGATGCTCTCTGGGATCCTAATGCCAACTCTGGTATCCGCGGTACTGTTCGGTTGACACAGGAGGGTGAAGTGCGCTGGGAGACCATCTCGGTATTCCAAGGGTAAGTACAAAGTACACTGCTTGTGACCTGGACAGAGTATTACTGACGTTGCGACAGCGGTGAGGAGAGGTGGCGCAGTGATGGCATTCAGGTTGGCGGGCTGCGCTGTTCACGCGGTGTTGTGGGAACTTGGTTCGACAAGGACTTCGACTTACATGGTCCTGCTGGGCCGACAGCTTTCTGGAAAGTTGGAGAAAGACCCGCGGATTCAGAAGATGAAGAAAGCGACTCTAAGGATGGAATTTGGGGTGCAGCGTAACTAACTACTTAAGACAACACGCAAAGAGGCAGGTATGCCTCGCTACATTTCAATATATCTCCATGTCAAAGCAGTTGCTGGGAAACCTTCCACTTGGACATCTCTCGTTTCCCCAGGCACTAGGTCGAACCCGTTATCACTTAGATGCGAACGTGGATTCTCGGCGAAGACGAAGCCCTTGACTGGCTTCGCAGCAGAGACAGAAATAGTCTTCTTGTCTTCCGAGTAGCGCAACTGCACACCTGGATCGCTAAAAGACAGATACTTGATTGGTTCTGGCCAGGCGATATCGCTGGCAGCATACTCGCCATTGATAGTCAACGTCGCATGGATGACGAATGGATCGGCTTTCGATGAATCAAAAGGCTCATTCAAATTTTGTACGTGGTTGATTTGGGCGACATGGTCAACCAAGACGTTAGTTGTTCCATTGGCCGCGACCTGTACTGTGGCAGAAGCCCTCGTGCCAACTTCCTCGCCTGTCTTGATGGAGATATAGCGTACGGTCACAACACCCTCAACCTCTTGCAGGGTACTATTGGAAATCCAGACATCGTGTTCGACATCCTGCCATAACTTTCGCATGTCGATATGTCCTGTGTCGCGCTGCCACAGTTCATCAGCTGGTCGCATAGTCCAGCTTTGGTATTTGCGCTGCACACCAATAGTGATAGGACGCATCGTACGCTTGATTGCGTAGAAGGCTGGTTTAGGGACGCCATGAATGTCTGTAACAGACCAGGACATAGTCTGCCAGCAATCGTTTAGTTGCCATACCAATACACCTCCGCACTTGCGATCGCCAGGCGTATTCCATTGACGGCGCCAGGACTTGTAAGCCCACGTCAATGCATCTGATTGCATGACCTGGGTGAGATGAGCGAAGTTCTCCAAATCGTACCTGATACGGAAATTCTCAGCGAGGTAGCTGATGAGCCGTCGCTCATGACCGATGGCTTTGTTGTGAAAGTCCATCACCATCGAGCCTGGGTAGAGGTCTTCTTTACGGGTGATGCATGATTCGAGAGTAGATACGTGGGGATATGCCTCCATTCCGAACTCAGAGACAAATCGTCCGCCCAGATCAGGCAATCGCTGATAGGGCTCCATAGTACCGTGCCAAACGTTCCACTGATGAATATCGCCAATTGTAGGGTCAACTTTCAAGACGGTGGACTTGCCGTTTCCGAATGGTGAACTAGGGTGATACAGTACATTTGAACATTCTTGTTTCACCACGTTTGGGAGAAGATATTCGTAGATGTACCGTGCTGGAAAGTCGGTCTTGAGCCAAGAGTCTGGATCCTTATCTTCAGGGTCATACTGCAGCCCGTATCGCTCCACGATCTGGTAATCTTCGTTGTTGCCCGCCCATATCACTACACTTGGATGGTTTCTCAAACGTCTGACATTTTGTGTCGCTTCCAGTTCCACACTCTTCAAGTACTCCGGGTAGGCTGGATAGTTTGCACACGCGAACATGAAATCCTGCCATATCAATACACCGTATTCGTCAGCGGCATTGTATAGTTCATCGTCTTCGTAAATGCCACCTCCCCAGACCCTGAGCATGGTTTGGTTGCCATCAGCACAGAGCTTGGCCCAAGCACGGGAATCCCTTGGAGAAGGGCGCGTGAGAAACGCGTCGCCGGGTATCCAGCATGAACCTCCACAAAAGATATCGATGTCGTTGATACGGAAATAAAACGACGTACCGTACGAATCTGGCTCTGTGATTAGTTCGGCGCGGCGAAAGCCAAACTTTTGAGAGATGTCATGAATCGGAGACGGATGGTCCGGTGCAAAGGCCTGAATCTTGATGGTGTAGAGAGATTGTTGACCATGGCCTCGCGGCCACCACAGCTCAATGTCATTGATGGCCATGGTAGCTTCTGCGAGGCCCGACTGATCATCGGTGCTGACGTCAACCTTTTGTTCTGCCACAGCTTCGAGACTGTCCTTTTTGAGGATTGTGAAACCTATAGCAGCGACAACACCTTCCCAACCGACCTTAACTTTGACCTCCGCCGATTTCAAATTTTGCGACAGCTCATACTGCACCCCTGGGCTTGAAAGCTGGCAGGACCATGTCTCAATCGAAACCGGCTTCCAAGGACCGCATGCCATGAGGACAGGACCCCAGTCCCATCCCCAATGGAATTGCGCTTTGCGAACAGGCCCTCTTGAGATTTCCGTTTGATGTACGATGAAGCGGTGCTCTTTGTGCTGTTCCACTAGCTCGCGACCCTTTTTGCGCGCTGACTCGAAAACGATTTCTAAGACGTTCTCGTCCAACTCAAGTCTGCCTGAGACGTCGACCTCATGCTCGACAAACATGTTGTCAGACTCTAGGACCTTATGCCCATTCAAATAGACAGAAGCAAAGGTATCCAGACCTTGGAAACGAAGTCTGGTGACTGTGTTTGCAGTCCCGTATTCGGAAGGCGCAGCGAAGATGGTGCGGTACGTCCATGTCTCGTCGCCAACCCATTGTACTGCAAGCTCGTTGAGATCGTTGAAAGGGTCTGCGATCTTTTCGTTCTTGAGAAGGTCGCGGTAGATTTCAGTCGGTACATCGCGGGCAGGTAAATACGCGTGAGTAGAAGAGCGATCGCCTTGCTTGAAGGTCCAGCCCGTCTTTAGCAGAGTTGAGGTATGCGGGACTAGCGTCATAATTGTCTTTTGTGAGCTAGGAGTAGGGTTGTGCGTTGTAAGAGTTGAATGACGAAGGTTCGGCGACTTTTAACCCGCGATCGCAGTTGCTAATCGGGTAGATGCGTGCGGGGTCCCCACGCTTTCGCCCTGTAGACGCATAGATAAGCACAGTCATACGATCGGCACGCCATAGAGCAGTTTCAAGTGAGACAAACATGGTGTTATTGTGCGAATGGCATACTGGTACTACCAACAGACTGCATTGAAGCTGATTGTCCACGAACTGTAGTCTATGCGCTGCTCAGAATCTCAAAACCCACAAGATCTGGTGCAAATGAGTCTCCATAGCCTCTGAACTCGACCATGTTCTCTGTGCCTTCAACGAACCCATCAACCTCGATATGAAGTCGCAGACTTTCCTGCCAGTCGCCGCCAGAGAGTGGGAAGGCCCATCTTTTTGCCTCGGCACCATTGACCGCGATCGTCATGTTTCGTGTATTGTCGCCCCATTCCCAAGCAGTGGTAAAGGCGTACTCATAGTTAACGAAGTCAACCCCTACGAGGTTTCTACCAGCGGACGGAGCGCTGACGTTGGAGAAGACAACGCTGCTGCTACGATCGATGTACTCTATCTTTGAGCCCGCGGGAAGACATGTTCCGCTCGCACACAAGGATACGTGCGCTGGTCCAGAGAGAGAAGCGTTAGTGGCAGAGTTATAAGAGCCTGATTGGAGCGGAGCAGCTTCGACAATGTTGGATAGAATCCATAGTCGCAGTTCATGCCCAGCCAGATCTACCGTCTGGGAGCCAGACAAAGCACTAACGTCCTTCGCGGCCCAAACATCGCGCGCATCGGCCGAAGCTATACCTAGTGATGCAAGGTCGAAGTCTACGCTTTGCGAGTCATTCTTCCAGTTCGCGACTCCTAGTACCATTCTTGATCCCGAGAGCTTCCCCATCCATATGTCCCACTCTTCTTCGGTGTCGCGACGGACCAACATTGCCTGCTGAGCAAGGGCATCTTGATTGATGGCAATGACTTCTTTGTTTTCCATGATGGCCAGAGAGCTCTGACTAATGCGCTCAGGGTCGAGTGCCGCGCCAATGATGAGAGGCGACTTATTGATCGCCCACATCCCGAAGTGAAAACGCTCTTCCTCTTCTGATAGGGCATTGAGACCGACGCTTGGATTGTTAGCAAGGAACTATGAGTGTACGGAGCTTTACTTACATCAACATATCCATATCTGCAAACGCACCAACAGTCGTGTGCCGAAAGTACGGTACGACTTGGTTCGTGATGCGCCAGATGCTGCGCCACGCATTGTAGATGTCATTGCTAATTCGCCATGTGTTGCCAATCTCAGCAGCCCAGTCTCCAACATCAGTGCCGATCCCCCACTGGCAAACGTAGTAGTGAATGTCGCGATCTACGGCTTCCAATTCGGCTGCCATGTGTTGGAAGCGTGCCGGAGACTGCGACTCAGCAGAGCTAGAGTCGACCATGGTGGTATTGGAGGTAGAATAGCAGTTATCATACCTTCGCGTTGTTAGCAAGGTGCGCAATTTCAACTGGAATCGTTCTACTGGGTCATACTTCAAGCTATCTCCTCCCCACTCAGCAAAGCTTTCAGCGTCTAGCTGCTCAAATCCCAGACTCGCAGGCAGCGTTTCTGATCCACATTGCAGGTACCCAGCGCCAGAGTAAAGACCGAAATCCAACCCCAGACCATGGATGAAGTCACCAAGCGCTTTACCGCCCGACGGAAAGAGAGTTTCATTCCATTGAAGTTTACCCTCAGCATCGCGGTCTTCAGAGGGCCAGCCACAGTCGACTGTTACGAAATTGTAGCCAGCCTTGTCAAGTCCGAGGTCGATGAGTCCTTGTGCACTTGTTTTAATTTTATCTTCAGAGGGCAAACAGTTCCAGGTATTGTATGAGTTCCATCCCATAGGAGGTGTGGGTGATCTGACCGTTCTGGCTGCAGCTTGCAGGGCGAGGCATGCCGAAAGGATAAGTGTGGTAGCCATCGTGACGAGACTTCACTGCAAAAAGCATTCAACGAGCATACTCATATTCATGGTACCACGACGAGCTTAATATCCGGTGGTCGTTTTGCTGCACGCTCGATGACCTCACAGCAAACAGAGTTCCCCTCGCCATGAACCGGGCGACGGAGAAATTGGTCGCGATGCATCAAGTCCCACCTCTTGGCCTGCATCGTCTGATATAGCGCTAAAATACGAAGTAGCGATCGACAGACATACGAGATGTCCAGGGATGGTGGGATTGTACTTCGGGCTTGGGTGAGGAGAAGGTCGGGCGTTTGCCCGTGAAGAAGCTCTGGGCGTCCTGAGCCGGGGACGGAAGCCATACCCCGCTGAACTTCGCGCCGCCAGCCTTGTCCGCACTTGTACCAGCGCGATCCGCTAGCCTCGGCGTCATGTCAAAAGAGGCCGCGAGAACACTTCCTCCGCAAGCGGACAATATCGAATTGAGCAAGCATGCAGACGCATCCAAGAGCGAAGCCGTTGGGACGTCAGCTCCACTCGAACACACGTCGTTCATGCGATCGTAGCGATACCAGTTACAGCTGCTACTGGGTCTAGTACCCATCACGTAGCCCTTGACTGCAACAACTTATTTCCCCATCGCATTGCTAATTGCAGAAGTCGACGCTGGAGAAGAGCGCGCAATGATATAAGTCCTAAACAGGGCTCTTCGACGAGTGGCTATGACGCATCGGTGGGCACGAAGACTAAAAAGTAAATGGTGCTTGACGTGCTTTCGAAATAGGGCTGTTGTGAGGTTTCAGTGGCACTTGTACGATCTGCAAAGCTTCCTTACATAAAGTCGCTTGTTAGCCCCTTACTTTTACATGTCCACATCCGCAGGACTACTGTCGTAGAGGTGTAATTGTAATAATAGACATATTCATTCGTTTCAATCGAAATTGTTCATTCCATCTCAGGCTCACAAAGAGCGATCAAGAGCTACATGATGATCAGGAAAGAAAGGCTGTCGTATAAGCTTCTGCTATTGAGAGCTTCTCAGAGTGATCTAAGTAGCCGCTGGCGGCTGCGGCCACTTGTCCAGCACTGTCTCCTCACCCGTAATAGTCAGTTTGAGCTCTGCCTGTGTGGGCTCATCAATCAGCAACGTGTACTCTCCTGGATATACAACCGTGTTACCCATCTGGTCAACTCGTGCCAACGTTCCGAGCGTGAGAGCGAGTGACCCCATCTTTGTCTGACCACCGGAGATGTCTCTCATTCGTGCGTAAGAAACCAGAGTCTTGAGTGGGTAGGGCTTCGGCCCAGCTTCACCCTTGATGAACGTTAGAGCGACGAAGTCGGAGGTTCGGTTACCTTTGTTCGTAACCGCAACTTCTAGCGGTGGAACGTCGCATAGATCTGTGTACTTTTGCGTGCAGTTACTCATCAGTTCCTGGATGTTGTAAGTAAGACCTTGGCTACTGCTGAAGTTCGCTGCAAACGTCGTGTAGTGCAAGCCAAAGCCAAACGGCTGTACGGATTGGTTGTACCAGCGGTAGGTTCGACCGGGGCTGTCGGCGTCCGGGCGCAGGTTCATATCCAACATGGAGAGTTCTGTGTAACTAGCAGGATATTGCGTGATTGGTAGACGGCCCGCGACTGCATGTGCACCAGAGATGACTTGCATGACCGCTGAACCACCGTCTTGACCCGGCCAGTTGGCCCAGATTACTGAGTTGACACCTTCCATGGACAGGAGGGGCGAGTTATCGACCATGTCTCCCAGCACAACGACGACAAGAGGCTTGCCGAGCTTAGCCAACTTGGTGATGAGTTCGACTTGTGCGCTGGGCCAGCTGATGCTCGTACGGTCGAAGCCCTCTGCCGCTGCTGAAGTATCTAGCCCACCGAAGTAGATGATGTAATCGGAGCCTTGCGCTGCATTGAGCGCATTCGTCGTCCAGTTGTCCCGAGCGCTGGAGTTTTGTAGAACAGGACCTGTGGCAACGGACATGTTCAGACCGAGCTGCGTACCAGCCCATACTGGCGTACGCAGGTAAGGAGCAGGGCCGCTGTAGATACCAGACAGTTTCGAAGAGTCGTTAGCCCAGAACCCGATCATGGCGACATTGGATCCGTTGGAAAGCGGAAGTGGAAGCGTATCATCGTTCTTGAGCATAACCAGGCCTTCGGATGCAACCTGCAGAGAGAGTCGCTGTGCTTCCGGCGTATTGACATCGTTGATGCCTAGGTCTGCGTATACAGCTCCAGCACCATCAAAGTATCCGGCGCGGACGAGTCCTTCATATTGACGCGTAAGAGCTCTGTCTACAGTGGAGATGTTCATAAGTCCTTGACTCCAAGCTCCAGGAATATCGGAAGATCCTGAGTACTCGCAGCTGTTATCCATGCCAGCGTTGAATGCCACTGCAGTGCCCTCAGCAAGCGTTTTGGTGTAGTTGTGGTTCTCAGAGATATCGGCGACGGCCTCGCAGTCGCTGGTGATGTAGTTGTTGCTCTCCGTCCAATTCCAGTGGTCGCGCAGAATGGTCTGGAGAACATATGTATCCGCGCATGTGGGGACACCGTTGACAGCATTGTAAGAACACATGAATGATCCGACTTTTGAGTCCCGTGCACATTGCTGGAACGGAGGCATATAGTATTCTGCTAGATCTTGCATCGAGATCTTGGCGTCGAAGTGGTGGCGATCGGTGCCGCCCCAGGCCTCCATATCGTAGCCAACGTAGTGCTTGCATGTCGCAATGATCTTTCGTTGTGCCTGGTCACCTTCTAGTCCTGCCAGTAGGCTCTTTGTATAGCCCTTGATTCTCAGTATGTCTTCTCCGGGTGTTTCTGAACCACGGCCCCAACGAGGATCGCGGAATGGGTTGATGTCGGGAGTCCAAAAGTCCACGGGAGCCACACCACCGTTGCCGAACGCACGTGCTTCATTTCCGATGACATTGGCGACCTGATGAATAAGGTCATCGTCAAAGGCAGCCGACATGAGCAATGGCATGGGGAAAGAGGTGGCATTTGTGAAGGGTTTGGTGAAGTTGATACCCGGAGCCCCAGCTACACCGTGCAATGCTTCTCCCCACCAGTTGTAAGCTGGAAGACCGAGTCGAGCAGCGCCCTTGGATTTGCTGCATCTATTAGCTTGGTGATCTTTGAAACTCGTAGTGAGCGTCTACCTCATCAAGTTATCGAGCTTCTCCGCCGTCTCCATAGCTGCGACCAGAGCGGCTGCCCTCTCGGTTGGTGGAGCATTGACATCGCAAATCTTATTGTCTTTCAGTGGGCCATTAACACAGTCAGGACCTATCGCGTAGGTGGTCGACAATAACGCAGCACCGAACAGAAGGATGGATGAGGCTGAATGCACCATGGCTACGACGGGTGAACTTCTGTTGCTAGACGATACAGGTACAACTTTTTGAGATTCCCGACCCTTTATGACTTCCCAGCCGTACCATTTCCAATAATCATCATGTTGCCAAGGTACTGAATTAAGCCGGAATAGAACCCGGCCATGCTCTACTCTAACTTTACATGAGAGCGTAATAATAATTGACCAAGCTACCCCGCGTGTACGAGCCCCAGATCTGCATGGTGTTGCTCCACGATCGACCCGTGAGAATAGGCGATATTCAGCCACCGGGTCCAACAAAACACGATGCGCATGTAATATTGCATCACCCGTAGTGCCTCGGTTGACTCTAAGCGACTGTTTTATTGTAACCACGACGCCTAAGTAGCGCAACAGCGGGTAGCTAACAGCGGCACAGCTCGTTCCCGTATGGATACCAACGGTTGAAAGCATTGCGACCGGTGCTTAGCTGCTTTAGCCTTCCTGGGGCTTATTATTTGGGAAGACTTTGCTGCTCAAGTCGAACACGGGAAGTGGGCATGGAATTCCCACGGCTTCGCAAGCGGTAATAATTGCAAGGTACCAGCCAGATATTAAGCCCAGAAAGCCAAAACCTCCCGCGCATTTCAGCAACGTGTTGATATGTTCAACATCGGCTTCTGTTGTGGCTGATGCGACGGAAAAGTCGGCGGCGGCGATAAAAGCGAAGAGCATGACGAGACCAAAGAATGTGGCGGTAAAGAAGAGGTTGACACGGAGCGTTCCTATCAAGAAGACAAAGCTAGCGAGTACCCTGCATGACGATTAGATACCGGACATCATGCGCATATGGACTGGATGGCCTTGCTTACATTGAGACGTTGTGGAAGCCCTGGGATGCGTTATAGGCTGCACCATTCGCGCCTCCCAATTCTCCGAATGCAGAAGTGGTTTGGTGTATGGGATCCTGCTGGTACGCCAGACTACCCCAATGACTTCCGTATATGAGAAAAACTGCCATGGGAAACGCTGATACAGATCAGCATCAGATAAGTAGCAGAACACGGTTTACATACTGTTGCCGAGAATAAATTCAGCGATGCCAGCGACATTCATGGCCAAGGCACCGAAGAAATAGTAGTCGGCGCTGAGACCGACCAAGCTTTGTGGAGCAACTGCTCCCTGGAAGCCACAGAGAATCAATATGGTCGAAGTATATGGAACCAAAAAGCCAATGAGACCGAGCAATGTTGGGTTGGCAAAACGTTTCGCGAGATCTCCACGGCGCGGAGCAGATGGCTGGAAAAAGAGGCGCTCATACTGCTCGGGGGACAGAGCTACAGTGACCTGACGGCTCAATGGCGAACCGTTGCCTGCGATTGGCATGCCATTGTGCTCGGTCATTTCGTGATCAATCTTGACAGTATCAGACATGATGAGAGGTGGCGCTTTTGATGTCGATGATGGTGGAGTTGCGGGTGCGACGATAAATAGTCGAAGGGGGTTGTGGAAGAGGAACAGGAGCGCGTAATCGTGTCTTCACAGAAGGCGGCATGATGGCTATAATGCAGTACCAAGATAGCCTTCGTAGAGGCGTGAAACGGCACACGGCTCAGGCATCCACATCTGGTCGTCGTCATCTCTCGATCGAACCGAGGCATGTTGCCGGTCTCTGGCGACTGAACCCCAGATTTCTCCGCATCCATCTCCACATTAGCTGCGACGTCCAGGCCAGACACGGGTTGTAGAATTATGTCCGATTGAACCCGAGAGCTTGGGATGCGCTAATTGGTGGACGGTAGGAAAGACGGCAGATCAAGCGTTGACAAGCGGTGCGAAGCATTACGTTCCGCGGACTAGGCAACGTGACGCTAGGCAGAGAAGAGGCAATAGGCCGCGAATGACATCAATAACGAGCGCCTCTTGTTTCTACTCTCAAAGCCGTTAGTTCTTTTTCTACATTTACACCGATGTGTAGAACGTATTTCGAATTACGGCTAGAGTCATCTGTCTTGACGAAATAGTGCACGCGCTTGAACGTGTTATAGTTCAAGCCCGTTCATCATAGCGTTGAAGACACTCTCGCCGACGGGACCTGCACTCCGCTTCCATGCTTCAATCTTCCGTTTTTCGTCCAGAAATTCGGGGTTGCTCGGGAACAAATGAACCAGTTGATCGATCCAGTGGACTGCCGCCGGAATCAGGGTCGGCACTCCCCATAACCTACAGAACTTTGCATAATAGAATATCTTGTCCATATGTTGTGCCGGGGATAGTTTCCATGAGTGCTCAATTCCCCAGTATTCTGCCTCCTCACCACGTTTCACGTTCTCGTATGCATATCGGATGCTAGCTATGGCATCGCGACCTCCTTCTTCGAGCCGCAGGAGGAAATAAGCCACGATGTGGAAGTTAGTGGTGTAGTAAAGCTCTGCGACCTTTCCTACGAACGGAGAGCCGCCTTTTTCAACGACGCGGGTCCACATGGGCCCATCGACCGCTATCATGATTTCCTTAATGACTTTGAGCCAATGCGCCATACCATCAGGGTGTCCTCGCTCGCACAATTTTGTACCTTGTGCCACACGCGCTCTCCATGACTCGATCAAGTCGTCGAGGTCGTCAAATTTGTCTCGTGCAAGGTCCTTTAGGGCTGACTGAACCAGGGATTCGTCGACTATGCCACTAATGTCGACGTTTGATCCGTCACGGATTCTTCGGCGGAAGGGTTCCAGTAGCTCCTTTTGTACTTTAGTGGAGGAGAAGTATGTCGTTGGGGCTTCTGTTTGATACAGTGGAACTATAGCGGCCGGCCCAAGCTCAATGCTTATCAGCACAACGTCTATGCCATCCTCCAGGAGATCATCTCCTCGCATGATAGCTTGGCGTATGAGTTCAAGGTCTCGAAAAAGCATGATAATGTTACATGGCATCACGAACTGTGAAGGTGCTAGATACCGTTGCCAATCATCCTTGCTGTTCCCTATGGTGACATGTATGGCATAACCCCGGAAATCCCTGGTCGCAGGATCACTGGGGGAGGTTCCAGGTCCATAGCCGATGGCTAGAAAAGGTACGTCGTTCTGCATGAGTATATGCGAAGAATGCAGACCGCCATTGCAAGTCACGAGCACAAAGCGGTTAACCTTGATCATGACGTTGTAGCCTTCGGAGTACACTTGCTTGTTGACGCGTAAATTCTCGGGCTGAAGTGCTCTAGGGTGTTCATATCATCCGTGACAGTATCGGGCTGTGGGAAAGTACATAGAAAAACCCCGTAGATTTTGTCGCGGACTTCGCGGGGAAGGTCGAGGAAGCGAAAGGCGGCCATTTCTGCTGATGTATCTGAGACTAATGAAGGTGATGTTGATGTTATAGCCAACTTGCGGGACGCATTGGGCGAGGATCGCTTTATGAATATTGGGTACCCCGACCGTCTAGTACATTGTTGGTTAGCCACAATTCCGCAGGTCGACAAGCCCCACACTGAGTGGAATATCAAGGAAACTTTGTCGAACGAAAGTAGCTACAGACTTCCAATGGGTCTCTTGTACACTGGGATCGCAACATCTGGATCGTATTCGGACTGCACGACTTTACTGCCTGGCAGGAAGGTCAAATTGGTTTTATTAGGCAGTTCGCATTCATTTGGTGCGTCGCTCGCCACCATCCATTTGCTCTCCAAGCCCGCTTGTCTTGCGATGTCTTTCTTCACCCGATACACAATTTCTGGTCGTGGTATAATGCTGCCTACAGGTTCCAGTGTCGTGCTATCTTCCAGCTCACCAGGCGTAGCTATAACCCACGTAGAATCGTTGTACCGCTCTCTGATATGGTTGGTGCCTGAACAGAAAAGTGTTTTCTGCTCAAAGTCGTCAGGGATTGGGATATGCACATTGACATGCCACAGGTCGTTTGAGATGTGTGTATTGGCAACACTGTAGCTGGCGAACTGCATGACAACATCACGGATATCCATGCGTATCTTGTAAAGAGTGTTTAGGCTTTCAGCTAGCCCATTTGCAACATCGTCTGCAGTGGTGAAGCCCTCAATGTACCAAATTTCCCCATCGTGCGGCGTATGGAAATCGATGACGAGCAAGGGGTCTTGTTCGGGATATGCTCGCATTAAGTCCGCATGAGAAAGATGCGACCACTCACGCTTGTCCTCGATGAAAAGCTCTTCCGCAAGGTATGGAGAGCGCGAAGTAGCGCCGATGCCAAACAGCTCCTGAATTCTGTCCAGTTGAGCTGATGTAAGGTCGGCGGTAAGGAGAGCGAGAAGACGCTGCTTGTCGTAGTGAAGATTAGGAATGTAGACCATGATTTTACGAACTGGATTGAGAGTGAGCGTTACACAGCCTAAGGAGAACAGGCTCATATCTTTGTATGTTCACGGTGGTCTCGTATCTAGCATTAAAGCACAACTTCAATGACCGGCGCGAAGCCAGCCAGGCAACAGGCAGAGCTAAGTGTGCTCGCTCTTCTTGGTCGTATCTAGATTGTCAGTCACTAAGCTATGTAGTGAGTAATGTTGAGACAAAGGCAGTTCTATCTGCGCGTCCTAGGTAGCCAATGACGTAAATGCGGGCTTGAAGCATGGATGGGGTGCGTCGCGCGTTGGTGCCTTAAGATGTTCCTGGCTATAGGATGCGTAGTGGGGGAGCTGCAAGCCACTACGATGGAGCCTGAAGATGGGGTGCATTGGTTCCATCAGGTTCGGCCCACGTTGATTCCGGATGTTGGTATTGATCATGCAGGGTGACAAGTTCGACGTGTGCTCTCTTCAGTGGTCAGGTGTGTGATGAAGGGCGGCGGATGGTGTGTGGTGCTGGCTGTGTAGGTCGGTGTGGAAGCTATTAGACCCTGCTTTTGCCATCCCCACATGCTTTTGCCAGTCCAGCGCAGGAGCATGTCGCGACTATAACGCGACAGCTGCTACTGCTCCCATCTATATTACAACTACCAGGCCATTAGTTTTCGCACACCCCACCTGCGGTAGTGCGTAATTTGGAGTGCATTGATCAGCATAGGCCCCTGAATCGCAGCGCCGAATGGCCACGACTCCCCCGGCTCGCGACAGAGCTTCTTCGGAAAGCCTGCCAGTCGGGAGTCCGCTGCCCAAGAAACTGCCCGCCCCCTCAACACCCACGAGCTCCATCCGCCGCATGATGGCTGCCAATGCGCCTTCTCCAGCCTCGAAAGAGGGTGCTCCACCCCGTCGCTCGACTGCAACCAGCGGCACTGCTGCGAGTGCCCGTCGACCTACTGCCGCATCAGCAAGCACGGCGCGAACACCCACGAGCGCGTCAAAAGCCCCCACCACAGCGACTTCACGCACAAGCACAGTTGGATCCAGCTTGAACAAGCCGCCTACGCGTCCAGCGGCAGGCACTACAGCCCGTAGAACCATCTCGTCTTCCAAGACCGCATCCGATGCCGAGCCAGACCTGTCTTCTGTGACGTCGGGGGACGAGAAGAAGAGAACACCAGCAGTGCGCCGGACGCCCGTCACATCATCCACTGCCTCGCGACCATCGCCGGCTAAGCCAACGTCGCGCCAATCCCTTGCCTCCTCGACCACCACGCCCACGAGTGCAGCCAAGCGTCCCGCGACAACACGCCCATCCGCAGAGGCAGCCACGACCCGCGCAACTCCGCGTGCTTCCCTGGCTTCATCGACACGCCCGACCCCTACCCGACCAGCGGCAGGAGCGAGAGCTGCAGGCGCAACACCAAAGGTGCCGTCGGGACACGCGAAGAAGCTGTCTGTCTCTGCCCCTCCACCCCCAGCACCGGAGACCGAGGATACAGCAGAGGAAGCGTGAGTGGGACCACGAGCATCTGAATTGCTATGAGCTAACTTGTCCGCAGTGAGAGCCCCGTTGTCGTATCCCCGCGCCGCATTGCGCCCCTCAAAGACAAGGCCGCGTCTGACAATGAAGCCGGAAACCGCAGGAGCGCTCTCGAGCCCATCAGGGCATCGCTGGCGAAACTCGGCGAAGAGCCGCCGCGACCGGATACTGCGCCGACGGGACGTGCCGAAATGGATGTGGAGATGAAAAGGCGGAGCGCTCAGATCATGCAGGACTTCTTCAAGGAGACCAACCTACGCGACAAGCTGCAGGAGCAATGCGAAGACCTCACCCGTGAAGTCGACAACCTCCATTCCGAAAAGGACAAGCTGCGCAAACAGCTGGCCGATGCCCAGGCCGCCATTGTCGAAAAGGACAAGGCCATCTCAGGCGGCTCAGATGCCTCGCCATCAGAGCAACGCGCCCACACAATCCTCGTCGAGGACATGGAAAAGAAGTTTGCGAGAGAGACCAAGCAGCTGGAAGAGCAGAGTCAACAGCTCGAGGAGGAGAAGAAGGCTGCGCAGGAGAGAGAAGCTACCGAAGCTGCCAAGGCCAGCGAGCTGCAGCAGGTCCTCGACGATCTGAATGCCGAGCTGGAACAACAGGGACGTCAATGGGACGAGGAGAAGAAGAGACTTGTCGAGCAAGCCACACAAATCGAGGAGCTCACCCATGAGGTCACCACACTCCGACAAGAGCGCGACAGCCTCTCCCAAGAGCTGGACATCGCCAAGAAGACATTGGAAAATCTCGAGACAAAATTCACAGAGCTCGAGCAGAGCCAGTCGGACAATCTCCGTGCGCGCGATGCTAAGATCACCGAGCTGACCAAGACTGTCGGCGAGTACGTAGAACAGGTTGCTTCTCGGGAGGAAATACACAACAACGCCCTGCAAGAAGCGCAGCGATCCCTCGAATCAAAGTCAACAGAGTCTTCGGCAGCGGTTGAGCAACTCCAATCCGAGATTAAATCGATACACCAGAAGCACACGGATGAACTACGCATCAAGGAAGACACCATTGCGTCCCACCTCCAGACCCAGAAAGAACTACAGGACGATATTGCCAAACTGCAAGAGCGGGCCGACCAAGTCTCTGCGGACCTAGAGAAAGAACGCAATGCGCACGCAGAACAGATGCAAGCCAAAATCGAGGAGCTCCAGAAAAGCTCAGAGCGTGAGCTACGCGCGAGAGAGGATGAGCTTTCCGGCCATCTCAAGTCCATCGACGGTCTTCAGGAGCAGATTGTGGCGCTTCAACAAGGCTCGACCGATGGTGCCAAAGTAGCTGAAGAGCTCCACAAGCAAATTCAGGACCTGAAGGAGTCACACGAAGCTGCAATCAAGGTCAAGACTGATGAGTGTGACGAGCTTGTCCGACAACTGGATGCCATTAACGATCAGCTTACCACTGACGCTGCCGAACTCGAGCAGCTTAGGGAAGAGACCGCTAGTTTGCGCAGCACTATCGAAACACTTGAGAAAGCCTCGCAGCAGCAAGAGTCTCAACACGCTTCCGACATGGCCAAGGTTCAAGCTGAGCTGAATGAGGCAAACAAGAAGATGGAAGCCCAAAAAGCAGAGCTTGATACCATGCATGATAAACACAAACAAGATCTCCGCGTCATCGGCGAGGACTACGAGCGTGAAATCGAGTCTCTGAGAGCGGATCTGGAAGGAGACGCCACAAAGCGACTCAATACCCTGCAAGCCGACTACGATTCACTTGTCGCTGAGAAGAACGATACTCTAAGACAGCACGAGGGTGTACTTGCTGAGCGGTCCACGGAACTGGAAGCTCTGAAGAAAGACCTGGTGGATGCCAAGGAGAACTCCGCCCGTGCAACGCAAAATCGCGACGATGCTCTTGCCAAACTCAAGGATGTCGAAGAAGAGAAGGCTACTCTCGCAGAAGCTCATGGCACTTCACAGTCACTTGTTGCTGATCTTCAAGCCCGCGTTGACAACCTTACTCAGGAAGTTGCTGCTGTCCAAGGTCTTCAGTCTAAACTAGACCGATTGGAAGAGGAGAAATCGGCCACCATGGAGGCACATGCCATGTCTCAGTCAATCATTGCTGATCTGCAAGCTCGTCACGACTCTTTGTTGGAAGACAAAACTTCGGCTGAAGATGCACACAGTCGCGCAATTGAGGCCTTGAAACAGGATTCTGAGAGCCAGACAAAGCAGCTACTCGGTGAGCTGGAGTCCAAATATGATGCTTTACTGGCAGAGAAGAAAGCTGCTGAAGAGAAACACCTCAACGCCCTTGAATCTCTAAAGCATGATGCCGATGCCTCATCCAGGCGAACGATCGAAGAGCTCCAATCCAAGTACGACGCTCTACTAATCGAGAAGAGCACAGCCGAGCAAGCACACGAACAAGCCATGGAGTCCTTGAAGCAAGACTCTGAAAGTCAGTCGAGGCAACTAACCAGTGAGCTCCAATCGAAATACGATGATTTGCTAGAGGAGAAGAAAGCCGCTGAAGAGGAATACCACAATACTATCGAATCCTTGAAGCAGAATGCCGATACTACTTCTAAGCAGACGGTCGACGAGCTTCAGTTCAAGTACGACGCTTTACTAGACGAGAAGACTGCAGCCGAGGAAGCGCACAAACACGCCATGGAAGCTTTGAAGGAAGAATCAGAGACCACATTGAAACAACACCTCGACGAGCTTCAAACAAAGTACGATACACTGCTAGAGGAGAAGACCGCGACTGAAGCAACCCACTCTCAGACGATAGAAGCCTTGAAGGCGGAGTCTGAGAGCAAGACCAAATCGATTTTAGGCGAACTTCAATCCAAGTACGACGCGCTATTGGAAGAGAAGTCTTCTGCAGACAACGAACATAGCCGCATTGTCGTGCAGTTGAAGGAAGAAGCAGACAGTACATCGAAGCAACTGTTGGGCGAGCTCCAAGCCAAGTATGATCGAGTAGAGGAGGATATGAAGAGCACATCTGAAGCCTTGAACGCTTTGCAGCTCAAGTACGATGCTGTCACTGGAGACATGAGCAGCAGTGAGGGAAGCCACAAGGCTGAGATTGAGAATTTGCAGAGTCAACGGGACGACCTCTCCAAGCGACTTTCAGACCTTGAAAAGAGCCACGCAGATTCGCTCACAGAGCAGCTGATGGCTCAAGAAACGCACACCAAGGCACTCGAAACGCAACAAGCCGAGATCGAACAGAAGTATGCCAGCCTACTAGAGATCATGCAAAGCGATGCAGATCGTTTGGAACAAGAGAAGTCAGCGGCAATTTCAGCAAAACAATCCGCACTCAATGAGCTTGCTACTCTCAAGAAAGAACTGCATGCTGAAATTGATGAACTCAAGAAAGGACTGTCAACGAGAAGTCAAGGTAGTGCAACTGGAGTTGATGAGTTAGCTCAAAAGTACGAGATTCTTCTCGCCGAAAAGGCTGCCGCCGACAAGGAGCATCAGGAAGCCGTGGCAAAGCTCAAGGAGTCGCTTACGCAGGACCACGAACAAGCATTCTCAAAGCTACAATCCGAGTACAATGCGTTGCAGGAAAGAGCTGCCAAGACAGATCAAGAACAAAGTGATGCTATCGAGCTACTGAAGGAGGAGTTCAAGACAGGCCATTCGAACGATATGGCGACTCTAAGGCAGCAGCTTGGAGACGTGCAGAAACGGCACTATGATCTCACAGAGCAGAAAGCATCCATGGACCAGGCGCATGAGGAAGCTATCAGTGAGCTCATGGCCGGTATGGAAGCTAGTACCAACGACGCCTTGCAGCAATTGCGTGAGAAATACGATGCCCTCACTGCCGAATTGGAGGAGGAGCGTCTCAATCACATTAGCGAGCTGGAGACTGCAAGACGAGAGGCAGCTGAACAGCAAAGCTTACATCAAGCCGCGCCGCAACAGAGCCAAAGTTCAGAGGTTGCCGACACCTCCGCATCGGATGTGGCAGTGTACGAAGAAAAGCTTCGCGTACTTGAACAAGAGCGGAACAAAGCCATCAGGGCTGCCGAAGACGCAGAAGACCGTATCGAAACCATGAAAGGCGAGGTCGTGCGCAAGCATCTAGCCCGCGTAGAACCCCTAGAAAAGGAGAACGCTTTTCTCCTCGACAAGATCGACCGCCTCGAGGCCATGCTAGCAGCTGGTGACCGTATCGCTCGTGTCGCGGCCACCGTTGGCGAGAGACGCAATATCAACAGTTTGGCTGAGGAAGATGAAGACTCGGCTGAAGATGCGTGGCCTGGTGCCCAGCCCTCCAAAGTAAATGGAACGGGCGACCACAAAGACGTGGTCGGAACTGTAAGTTGAACCCAACCCTGTATGTGGTTTTTTTTGCTTTTACTAGTTGCACATGAGATACAGACAGCTAATCCGCCGCTAGCAGATAGCAGCCATGCAAGAGTCTCTGAAGCAGCTCGCTGAGCTCAACAACGAAGCAATCTCTGAGAGCACCAAGACGGCCCAGAAACTCACCATGGACCAAGACTAGTCCTTCTTTTGTCCGGCGATGATGAAGGTCTGCGGCAGCGTACGACGGCTCATGAAGCACATGCTTAATTCTCTTCTTCGACACATACTATTTTAATTCTTCCCTTTTCACTTTTGGCCATTCTCACAGCACGAGTTTGCTTTATTTAGATCATGGCACTATACCCATCTCAATGTACTATCGTCATTTATGAAGACTCTCATGTTAGTGAGCTCCCCCCTCACACTTCCAGACGTCGAACAACTCCCTGCCACTTGTGCAGCTTTTTCATCCAATTCCGAACGCCAACTGCTGTATCGTGGAGGTCCACTCCCAAAGACGAGCATGTCATGCTTCTCAAGACTAGATACGACATTCGCATCAATCCCTTCACAAAGATTTTTTACTTACTCGTCTCCTATTACCAAGACATTAGACAAATGAAGGCGAAAGGAGCACAGGAACAAACACAGCACATAGAGACAGCAGTGAACGTAGTCATGAATATTTGATGAACTATACAAAGGCGCAGCCAAACGAATCGAAGAAAGTATATATACAAGAAACTTTTCCTTCTCACTCATAACTCGAGGAATTTTTCCTTCTGTCATGCTCTAGGACTGGTAAGAGTCCAAGAAGCTAGCCCTTCCGAGCTTTCGGGAGTGGATGTGCTCGTGGACAACGACGGGGCTGACTGGCTTGTGGCCAACCATGGCGCGCCTGGTCAAGGTGTCATGGCGGCGGGATACAGGCTCAGAGCGGCCGCGGTTGGAGTCAGTTGATTGAAGGCACTGGGAGTAGTAGTCGTTCTGGGCCACGCACTTCCAGCCGCTGGCGCATGCAGTAGGGCCAGTGAAGCCAATGCCGCCGCAGCGCTCGTAGGCACCGGCGGTGCTAGGCTGGGCAGGCTGGGCAGGCTCAGCGGGAGATGGGGTCGTAGCAGGGGCAGACTCGGCTGGTGCCGAAGGGGTCGATGATCCGGCAGGGGAAGACGCAACGGGAGAGGCAGACTCAGCAGGCGCTGCTGACTCGATGGGTGCCGCAGATTCTACAGGCGCAGCAGATGGGGCCGCAGGCGAGCCGGTACCGATGGGTGCTGCAGAAGAAGCAGCAGAGACTACGGGAGTCGCACCTGGTACACTGGAGCTAGCTGCCTCTGGTGTGGCCTCAGGGGTAGTGGGAGCAGTGCCACTGGCGGGGCTGTCACCAAGAGCAAGGATGCGGGCAGCAGCGGCCTCAGCAGCAACCATGACGATCGCCTGGGTGTTACCGGTAGGGAGATCGGGGTGAATGGAAGCATCGACGACAAACAGGTTGTCAGTACCATAAACCTTGGTGTCAGTGTCAACAACAACACCAGCATCACCCTTGGTTCCCATCTTAGCGGTACCGACGTAGTGGCTTCCGGTCTTGAAAGACTTGATAAGGTCTGCGCCAGTAACGTTGGAAACACCGGCAGGAGCAATCAAAGAGAGGGTGGAGTTGCCACCTTGTGTCATGGCAATCAAACGGTCCATCATCATCGTGATGGCCTCAGTGTCGACGTCAGAGGTCATGTGGGGGTCGGTGATGAAGGTAGTGGCGCCATCAGCTGTGATACCAAGGCTACCGACAGACTGCAGACCGTGGGTGATGTAAACCTTCATCTGGATGGTGTTGTCGGCAGGCGAGTTGCAAGTACCCTGGAAGAAAATCTCGCTGCCGTCAGTGGTGTTGACAGATGACCACCAGTTAAGACGTTGACCGGACTGTGCGAGCTCACCAGAGCCCTTAGCGAACAGGTCAATGGTGGTTTGGTTGGGGCTGGTGAGAGCCTTCTCGTCCGTTCCGGAGAGGGGAGTGCTGGTGTTGAACTTGACAGTGAAGATAGGGTGGTCCTTGATCTCAGCACCGACGGGGAGGTCGATCCAGTCAGCCTCATCGGGAAGTGTGACACCGCTGCTGCCGCTGGCAACAGTCTGAAGCTGGTCGGCGGGACCGATACCAGAGTTGAAGAGGATACGGGGAGTAGACATGGATCCGGCAGCCAGGATGACACTGCCTCCGGACTTGACGTTGTAGATAACGCGCTTGCCGTCTGCAGTCTCAACCTCGATACCAGAGACAGCCGATCCCTCACGAACAGCGCGAACGACGTTGGTGTTCATCATCAGCTCGAAGTTGTTGAGCTTTTGGGCAAGGGGAAGGTAAGTCCTGACCACACCGGAGCGAAGACCATTGGCGATGTTCCAGGTAGGGTGGCCGTAGACATCGACCTTGGCGTTGGGGTTCTTTACAAAGTCGGTCTCGGCCCATCCCTGGCCAGCGAAGAACTGCGACAAGACATCGTAGGCACCGTTGTCGTAGCGGATACCGTCTTCTGAGCCGTAAGTTTGTCCAGGGTTGCGCTCGTACAGACGATCAGCCGCCTCAGCGACATCAGCCCACTTCCAGCCAGCAGGCCACTTGTCGTCGAAATCACGCTCTTGAGGCTTGACGTACATCATAGCGTTGATGGCAGTGCTACCACCTAGGAGGCAGCCAGCCATGTCGGCGGTGTCGGCGCAGTAAGCGGGGCTGCCGACATCGCTGAGGGAGTAACCGTAGCCTGGAACATCGTACATCGAAACAGTGTCGTTCCATGGCATGACCTCAGTCTTACCAGTGAAAGCGTATGATGGGCCACCACGTTCGACCAGGAGGACGGACGCACCGCTCTCTGCAAGCCTCTCAGCTGCGATGATACCAGCAGCACCACCTCCGGCGACGATGTAGTCGTATGTAGAGTTAGCGACGGTGGCTGTTGTGTTTCCAGCAACGGGGGCTGCTGGCGCGGTCGAATTGCCTCCGGGTGTGGTAGAGTTGCCCCCGCTAGGGGTGCTAGCCACCGCCATAGCAGCCCACTTCTCGAAGTCGGGGCTGGTAGCGTTGCTCATGGGAAGTCCGAAAGCTCCGAAACCAGCGTCGTGGTAGTTGAGAGCCGCACCAGCATCGGTAGAGTCGGCAAGCGCCTTGTTAGAGTAAGCCCAGCCCATGATGTTTACGCTAGGGTCCTCGTAGATGACGAGACCGGTCTTTGGGTCCTCGCTGATGCAGTTCGAGCACAGGAAGGTGTATGAAAAGGCGGTGTCGTTGACGAAGGTTCCGTCGGGGATTGGGGACATGGTGAAGTCACCAGTCTTGACAGCTGGGTTCGTGTATCCAGTTGCTTCTCTGAAGGAGGCGATGACTTCGCCCTCGTGAGGCCAAGCAACAACCAGCAAGTTGCCAGTCATGGATTGTCCCTGAGTGTGTTAGTTTACATTGTCTATAACATCGCTTGCTCCTAACATACCAAGCTGAATCCAGCCCAACCACCATCGTTGGTGATCGGAGCTTGAACCTGGACGATGAAGTCGGTAGTAGCTTTCTCCGGAAGGGCATAGCCTAGCCTGTAGCCCGAAGAGTGGTGAAGACCACTGAAGGTGATGCCAGTCTTCTCGTCTGTGAATTTGGAGGAAGTTTGCGCCGAGACGCCAAGTGCCAGAAGGGCTGTGGAAAGAAGGAATGTGCGTGCCATTTTGGCTGTAGGAGTGATGACTGAAGTGGAGGAAAGAATGCTGTGGCGCTGCCAACAAAAGAGTGTGAAGCCGTCAAGGCTGTAAAGAATGACTAGAAAGCAACGTTCGTAGAACGAGCAAAGAAAAAGAGTGAATGAATGAAAGCGAGAGAGCTTGTACCGAACAAGTCGCCGCAAGATGTCTCTCTATATGTATGCTGTGCCATTGCGGGTCAAGAGCCCTCAATCTGCCACTTCCAAGGACGGAGGCCATCTCCGACCTAGCGCCCATCAAACAAGCTCACGATGCAGCCTCGCGGCGATGTCAACCTGGATTCTGGACCACGGTGGTCCAGGAACATGGTCCATCGGTCGCGCTACGGGTGTCAAAACGGTCAACTGGCGTTTACACCACTGTACTAAGTTAATTACCTGCAGCATGGGCGGAAAAATGCCGACGCACAGTTCGGTAACACGGTCGCATTCATTCGTCGATAATGAAGTTTCATGTTTGTTTGGCATGAACCTGACGTCGGGGTGGAGTCTAGCTGTTTCGAAACGAATCGCCAAGGCAGGAACCGCCATCCTTTGCAAATTGCGCGTGGGCCGCTGAGCAAAACACCATCCGCTACTGATTGCGCTCATGGTTCATGGGCTTGACTGATGAGTCGAGCACCTTATCTTCTGCTTGTCCCGGTGGTTGTAAGAGTCAGGTCGCATTGTCGTTTGTGAGGCTCCGAGTGCGAATGCAAAAAGATATGGGACCCATCAATCTACTGGTACCCATCAGCTTCCTACAATTACCGTCGCAAAGCTGAAGACAATAGCGAACCCGGGAATTCGGCTCGGCGAAGGAAGAGATGGAACATTGAAGTACAAAGGTGACGCGTTCACAATAGGTGGGATTCGGCGCAGGTTATGCGTGAGCGTCTGCTGCAACGCGACCGGTCACCGACAATCTTCCGACAAATTAAAGACGAGCTCATGGCTCTAAGGATACACTCCGATGGTTGCTCGATACGGAGTTTTGTTCGATGGGATGAAGACGTTTGGCTTGTTGACGTGCAGTGGATATTGAGTCTTAGTTTACCTGACGCTAGCTTGATCGGGAACGACTGAGGCACGGCGCCGTAACCGGGACCGTGAACATGTCAAACATGCGCCGGCGCATCGATGTGTTCAACACCTCGTTGAACACGCTTTCAACCAAAATTGGCCTGTGCTTTTTGGATGATGAACGAGTCGAACGTGCTGATGATGCGGAGGTGTTCAGGTGGGGTAACGTACCTCGGCACAGGATGTCGCCTCCCGCCAGGTACCGTACGCCCATATACTAACCTTCATGCCAACAATCTTATTCTAGAATAATTGCTGTAATTCACCACCTTTGTACAGACTACCTGCATAGCACCGTATCGTCATGGCACCAAAAAATGAAATTCCAGCTTATGTCCTTGGTGTTGGGCTCACCAAGTTCATCAAACCCCGACAAACGCGCGCATATCCAGAGATGGGCTATGAGGCGGGAGTAAAGGCAATGTTGGATGCACAGATTAACTACGACGATGTTGAGACAGGAGTTGCCTGTTACTGTTACGGAGACACTACGAGCGGTCAAAGAATTTTCTACCAGTTCGGCATGTCGAGGTATGGCAATTAGTAACGACCTTGTGAAGTATGGAGATACTGATAAACACCAGTATCCCAATTTACAACACAAACAACGCATGTGCAACTGGTTCGACCGGTCTTCATCTAGCGCGAACACTGGTCAAGAACGGGGCGATTGACTGCGCGCTCGTTATTGGATTCGAACAAATGCAGCCTGGCTCTATCAAATCAACATGGAGCGATCGCCCTTCCCCCATGGGTCTCTCGATGCGTATGATGGCCGACACCCGCGGCATAAGCAATTCTCCACCCAATGCTCAATACTTCGCCAATGCTGGTCTTGAATATATGGAGAAGCATGGAGCTGAGGCACGCGACTTTGCTGAAATTGCGAGGATTAGCCATGAACACAGCTCGAGGAATCCGTATGCGCAGTTCAGGGATATCTACACACTTGAACAGATTGAGAAGGCGCCCATGATTCACTTTCCGTTGACTAAACTTCAATGCAGTCCGACAAGCGATGGTGCTGGCGCAGCCGTTATCGTGAGCCAAAAGTTCTTGGATGCCAGACCGCATCTCAAGAGTCAAGCTATCCTAATCGCAGGCCAATCTCTGATGACGGACTCTCCTCAGCTTTACTCCAAGTCATCGATGGATCTCGTTGGTTACGATATGACTAAGCGCGCAGCACAAGCGGCTTTGAAGGAGGCCGGTGTGAGTGCGAAAGACATCAAGGTCGCGGAACTACACGACTGCTTCTCGGCGAATGAGCTCATCTTGTTAGAGGGTCTGGGTTTCAGCGAACCTGGAAAAGCACACATGATGGTACGCAACGGCGATATCACATACGGTGGCAAAGGACCCATCGTGAACCCATCTGGCGGTCTCATCAGCAAGGGACACCCTCTTGGCGCAACTGGGTTGGCACAATGTGCAGAACTGACATGGCAGCTTCGAGGCTGGGCCAACAACAGACTTGCTGACGGAGCAGACGTGGCGCTCCAGCATAACCTGGGCCTGGGCGGAGCTGTCGTGATCAACGTATACAAACGCGCTGATGGCAAGAAGAATGCGAAGATGAGTGATGAGGAAGTCAAACAAGCGAGTCAGTTCTCCTACAACCCTGCCGTGGAGGCACGCTACGTCACCAAGGAGGAAGGCGAAAAGGTGAGAAGCAAGACTGTGGCAAATGAGTATGCGCTAGGCGATACCTTAGAGAAGATTCAAAGTCGACTGTAAGCTAGTTATATAATCGAATCAGGGGTTTGAAGAACAACTCTTCAACTTGTCTTGTGTTTCTTGCATGAAAGCCTCATCTTTGCTGAATACCATGAACCTTTTCTCATATAACTGGCTTCGGCTGCTATAAACCATTCTTGCTGTGACACCACGTTTGAAGACTAATATTAGGCTTACGCCTAAGTTTAGCACTAATGACACATGCCTAGTCCGCCGCATTACTGGACTTGGAACTTTGGATGGAGGATCCCAGCAATAGCGCCATCCACGTCCTGTTCTGTTCACCTCACAGCATACATGCAAATCACCTCTCCTTAATCTTATCTCATATCTGTTGGAGTATAGTAGTGATAGATTCATGCTACGGAGGATTCTGACTACACAGGCAGTACGCTAGTGGGTATGGAAGGTACCAATAACAACATTAGATGGCTCTTTCTTCAATATCAACATGCACTCTAGTAAACCTCAAGAACGTATCTGCCCTCGTCCTTCAACTTTTCAATCTCCTTGCGTGAGTCAACCTTCTTAGCACCGACATTCTTGACCTTGTGCTCGACTTCGACAGCCTCTTGAAGCACCTCAGTGACATCAGGCACAGGCCATGTCGGTCCACAAAGGTAAAAGCTACCCTCCTTTTCGAGATAAGCCCTTCGGATGTCCGTCAATGACTCCCTCATACGGTCCTGGATGTAAATCTTCTGAGGTTGGTCACGAGAGAAGGCGCGACCAATGAGAGTAATGATACCGGCATCTTGGTATGCCTCCCATTCCTCACCATACAAGTATTCTTCGCGCTGGTGACGGGAGCCCATGTAAAGTAGAACCTCGCCGATTTCGTGACCTTGCTGCTTCTGGTAGGCACGTTCCTGAACGAAAGCACGGAAAGGTGCAAGACCGGTACCCAGACCAGCCATGATGATGGGCGCAGTGGTCTTGGAAGGGAGCTTCATAACGGACGGCTTGACCGAAACGGTAACAGGCGAGCCAATCTTGAGGCTGTTGAGGTAGCGTGTCGCTTGACCGAAACGGTCGCGACCCTTGGGGTCGACCCAGTTGACAGTTACAATGAGCAGCGAGACGGAGTTGGGGGTTACGTGCTGCGCGGATGCGATAGAGTACTCGCGGCGCTTCATTGGGCTGACAATGCGAACAATGTCATGGAAGCTTGGGTGTGCAGATGGGAACTCAAGCAGGATGTCAGCGTAGGTGACGGTGTCAACCTCAGCACGGCGCTTGAACTCAGTGGCGCCTTCTGCACTAAGAAGCTGCAGAAGCTCGCGCTTCTCACGCTCGTCATCGGCAAACTCGGCGAGCGCTTCGTAGAAGCGCTTTGGTGGGCGACCGAAGATATCGACATTTTGTAGCAGAGATTGGTAGACAGTTCGGTTGACAAGGACGTTGGGGTCTTCACGGGATGGTACCTCAACGATCTCATCAGGGTTGAGACCGTACCACTTGATGAACTCGTCGACCTGCTTCTCGTCGTTCTCAGCGTGGATACCAAGAGCCTCACCAATAGCGTAAGTAACACCAGAATCACCGAGATCAAACTCGATGTGGAAGATGTTGCGGTCGTAGTTCTTTGGCGTGAGACGGCGACGCTCCTTAACATGAACGATGCTGGTCTTGACGCCAAGATCGGGTCGGACCTGGTTAGCGGTGCCGAAGGCTTCCTTGAAAGCGAAGCCCTTGGCTGCGATCTGCCAATCTTTGAGCAGGGTCGGGGGCTCTGTCTCGATACGGTCGAAGGGAGCAAAGCTGTTTACGTTGATGTCTGAAGGAAGGCGGATTGGCTCAACGTCCTCCTCGACGGTACCCCAAGCGGCAGGAACCTCGACCTCACGGAGAGCGCTTTCGAGCTGCTGGGTGAGTTTTTCAAAGACATCTGAGCTGCCGTTGATGGCGGCAAGCTTGCTCAAGCCAGAAGTCAGAAGGTCTTCACGAGCGACCTTCAAGAATGCGAGCTGAGTGAGGAAAGACTCTAGAGACTCGTCTTCAGCAACAGCTTCAGATAGAGTAGGATCAAGAACGAAAAGCTGAACGTCCTTGTCTACAAGAGCCTTGCGGAAGGCAGGTGACAGCTTCTTCTCAACGTCCTCGTTCTTCACACCTGGAAGCTTCACAATAATGCAGCTGTCAGGCTTGACGCTGTTCAAGATGTCGAA